AGATCTTTGGATGCACGGTGTTTGCTAAGCTTTTTCCAGACCAAATAAATGACTTTTTGGTAGGACAAGGACTCTTCATTAATTTTCCAAATAAAAATATCTTGCAGGTTTTAAGTAAGAATCATGCATATAAAAAAGTTTAACTACAAGATGTTCTTCTATGGTGTCATTCTCTTAAAATAGAACCCTCCTAAAATCTCCTAAAAATAAGTCTGCATAGTTTCATTTCATTTTCTAAGGAGATAAACATATCAAAACAAACACTTAGCTTCTTTCTTAAAGAGTCTCTCTGCTACATAGGGCTCACAGATCAAAGTTAAAAAGGGCCAATTTCTTCACTTCATAGGTCGATGACACAGCTTTGAAAAAGAGGAAAAACAGTCCCCCTAGTGTACTGCTGCTGTACGAAGAGGAAGTCTATTCGTTGAGAATCACTGACGAAGACAGTACTGCCAAAGGAAATTACAAAACAGCATTTTGGCAACATAGGCCAAGCAGAAGACAGATTCCTTACACACGACCATAACGGGCCCTTGGGTGAGTTACTCTAAGAGGTGACCGAGGCCAAAATTACAAGCCAACATGGAATTACCACAATTTTGTCATTTTGAAATTTTAAAGACATATTTTTTAAAATCAGAGTTGGAGTTAAAATCACATTTTCTTAATCCAGTATTGTCGGGAAGGAACTGGATGCATTAATCTAAAGACCAGTGAACATCAGCAGGCATTATGTGGCAGGGGGCCCTCATCTCTTTACCCTGGGGAGAAGCTGTAAGAGCACACATTCTCACAGGAAAGAAGACATCGTCTCTTGCCGAATTACCCTCCACAGGAGCAGCGGCAGAAGTCGTCACACACACGAGAACCTACATTTGTGAAATTGTGAGAAACAGCACAGAAACTCAGGGCTGCCTCATGTAATCGTGTCCTAATCCCCCGGGAAATGTGGGGGTGTGAGGAGATGGAGAGAGATAAATAAGCCTTAACAGGTAAACCCTGGAATCCTAGAGGTCTGCCCCACAATGGGAGGAACCGAGAGAACAGAGCAGTTTAATTAGGGGTGGTGCAGCGCAAATAAGCTTAATCTGAATTTAAGGAAATGTAACCTTTTCCCCTCTTAACCACATCTGACTATTCATTTCTACTTTAATGCCTGAGGTAAGGGAATCTGTGAGATAGCCATCACCTCTCTCTCTGGCACAATATGTATCTGACAAACCTAGAACCCGAACCAAGAACTTCCTCCTCTTGTTAAAACGCTATCTTTTCTGCCCCCTTTATCACTTCGTAGTTCCTAAGTACGGGTACTGACAGACGGCATGGCTATACAAATGTGATAAACTCGATCAGGCTCCATCGATATTCCTCTTTCTGATGCTAAACTAATAACCAAAACGTTTTTAGACTGAGAGGCAAATACGCTTTGCAGGAAAGCATCTTCCACTTATGTAAGACTATCTGTTACTTAGTAAAAAAAAAAAAAAAAAAAAAAAAAACCCTTTAAAAAACTGGTCAATTTAAAGAGGAAAACAGGGTGATAAAGAATAAAAATCTCCAGAACTACAGCTAAATACCTAACTAGCTGTGTGATCTTAGAAAAGTCCTTAACTTAAAGAACCAGATTCTTCACCTATAAAATAAGGGAGTTGAACTATCTCAGCAAACCTCATCCTGGCTCAATGTCGGAATCACCTGAGAAACTTAAAAAACAAAAATAAAAAAGAAACACCAATGCTAAGCCCCAGACCCACCCAATTAAAACCAATTTTCTACATATGGATAGTTTTTAAAAAGCTCCCAGGTGATCCAAATACGCAACCAGGGCTTCAAACCACTAGTCCTTATTCTGATCTCCAAGGCCTCTTTTCTAATTCTTTTATCCTCTAATCTTAGGGTGATAATTCTGGTGACAGGATCTCATAATGTAATAGCCCAAAAAGCCACAAAAGAAGTTAGGCCCAAACCCTGCATACTGTACCATTGTGCACACAGGACCAGGAGAGGTAAACCTGAATTCTAGACATTTTTAGAAGTTAAAAACCCTAATGCATAACTCAGAATGAAAGTAGTGTGGTTTAAATGCACAAGCATGCTCTCAAAATGACTAATCATGATAGGAATCGACTCCTGAAACTTGGACGCATGGAAATGGGTCACAATTAGCTCCTGACCTCTCCCTTTTCCCTCTTCTTCCACCCCCACTAAACCACAAGCACAAAAAAGGCTGGCTATTAGTCATAATCGGAATATGAAACCAGCCCCAGTTTCAAAGGGCTTTCTTCATCATCAAAGATTTGGAAGTTCCTGCATGGGTGCATCTTTTGATGAAGGTCATCTTACAAAAACTCTTTAACTAAATTATATCCCCACAGTCTTCAAGGATTAGGTGCCATATGATACTGAGAAATAGAACTGATGTAAAATCTTAAAGTAAAAATAATTCTACTTACATAAAATAAAAAAATATTTTACTTTATGTCCTGTATTAAGCATACTAAGGCTTAAGTTTCAACTTACAATATTTCCTAAGTTTTAAAGGGAGATGAAATGGAAACTAATTTAACACTCTGTGTTGACTATACTTCAATGAAAAAAAAGAGAGAGAGAGAGAGAAATGAGATAGCAGAGAAGGAAAAAGAAACCATGAGACCCCCCCAAAAAAAGGTTAAGGACATAAAACCACAAAATTTAGGACTAGGCCCAAAATCTCTATTGCAAGTCCCACTAGCTACATGAAAATACAATTAACCAAATCACAATTCATGGCTACATTTGGTAATACTACTTTCCCACCTAGATTAAAAAAAAAAAAAATCAAATGCTATTAAGCGGTTACTCTCTTTACAATAACAAGAGATGTTATTTGTGGGATTAAACTACTTGTGTAAACTTAAAAATCAAAGGAAAAGTGAAAACCCTTCCAACATTAAAAAAGTTAGTTAGCTAACTAACTTTTAACTAGCAGATTCTCTGCATCAAACTCAAAATACACAGGACTAATTTCAAGTTGAGAAATATGAAAAATATTCCAAACGCCTATATCCATTTTCTTAGACCCTGAAACTCACCCCTTCCTGACACTGTACCCTGGTATTAACAATTTGCTATTCACTTGGAAACTCAGTTTTAAAAGATATCACAGTAGCACTGCTTTGAAAAGGAATTCATGCTCAAGCTTTCTGTAAATGGCCCTCATATCACACAACTGGCATTCCTTTGCAAAGCTATAAAATTAAATCAAATGTAAGATTCATAATGTCAGCAGTCATTTAAGAAGACAGATATGTGGAATAACTTCAAAGCACACGTTTTGCTTTTAATGTATCTCAACAAGTCCTCTCCAATAGGAGCCATTAGAAATTTGAAAAAAAAAAACAAAAACAAAAAAACCAACAACAAAGCAGATACTTTGTTTGTAAGGTTTTTCATTTTTTTTTTTTTAAGCAAATTAAAACTCTGAGGATTTGGGGGGGAGGTGGAATGGATGAGCCTGGTGATAGGTGTTAAGGAGGGCACCTATTGCATTGAAACACTGGGTGTTACACACAAACAATGAATCGTGGAACACCACATCAAAAACTAATGATGTACTGTATGGTGACTAACATAATAAAAAAAACTAAATTAAATAAAGCAAATTAAAACTCAACACACTAAATTCTCTAGTTTTTTTCACATATAGGTTCCTGTGTTCCAGTTCTCCACAAAAATTAAACTGTTCTTTCTGTATACACCTACTGGAACCCAGGAAGATGCAGGGCTCCCCCAAAAACCCTGAAAGAAAGGACTGAAGGAGGAAGGAACTACCTCATTAATTAAAAAAAAAAAAAAAGATAACTCGCAAATAGAAGCAACTGATAAGCCATATGTGTCTCCAACTGTACGGGACTCCTCTGCCTGGTACAGACACGTTCATGTCTTGGGGAAAGAGGCTAGGAGGATGAGGTGCAGGAAGAGCAAAGCAGCTGGGTATCAGCAGCCGAGCAGGGGCACAGGAGTTAATCTGTTTGGATGCCCAACTGCAGGAAGTCATTACATCATAGGCCTTTCCACACCTCTCTCCCTACCACGTGTCCAGTGCCCCAAGAGGCTGAAAAGGAACAGTAGGGAGCCTCTCTTCTGGTTCACTGGTAGGTAGAAGCCATTACGGCCCAGCCCTGACACCACACCTCTCTGCCAAGGGCCGAGGTGAAGCTCCAGGCCTCAGTCCTCCAGACCTGGATCCGGCCTCAAACCACGCCAGAGTCCAAGACTCAAAGAGAGCAGCAGGTGTGGCTGGTCCGCCCGGAGGCCGCAGGGCTGGCCCGCTCCAGGGCTCTGAACATCTCAAGTTCGGGGGCAGGCTTCCTGGAGAAACATCTCTAAGGAATAAAGGTGTCAACACAGGCAAGGAAAGACATTCAGCCAGGAAAAGGTTTACTAGCACTGCTTTTTCTAATGGGATCGGTGTGCCTGTGGGAACTAACACCCACAAGCCAGAAACTTCGACGCAAGGGTTTTCATCCAGCTAGTGACAACGACCATGCTCTGTAACCGACTGGAAACCACAAATCCAACCCCTCCTGCGGGCACCAAGTCCCAAGCACTCCCCCACATCCTCTCACTGCACCCGCAGAGCCCTTCCCGCATCCCCATTACGGCTGATTTCTACTTCGAAGTTGGCGGAAGACCTACCTCGTCTGTGTCGTCCCAGGAATCCAACAAATGCACTCCCGTCCGCCAGTCCTTCCCTCGCCGGTATCCCTCGCCCCCTCTCCTCACCTGCCCATGCCCGAGGCTTCCTTGGAAGCCTCCTTTCCCCGCCCTACCCTCCGTGGCCGACCCCAGGTTCCCCTCCTCTGGGGGTCACAGAGATCCCCCGAAACCTCACAGCGTAGGCTCTCGGTGCCAACCCATCTCCCCAGCGCCTGCAGGCGCGCTCCGACGAATCGAAGGCGCGTCTCGCACTGCGCAGGAGGCCCGGCAGGTCCGGCCGCCTGCCCAAGGTGGGTACGCACCTTCCACCCCGCAGAGCTGTTGCTGTCACCCTTATCCTTGAAGTAGGGCACGCAGCGCACCATCCACTCGTAGATCTGGGACAGAGTGAGCCGCTTGTCCGGCGAGCTCTCGATGGCGCGAGTGATCAGGTCGGCGTAGGACAGGTTCCCCCAGGCGTTCCGCCGCGACGAGCATTTCCTCGGCTGCCCCGAGCCCCCAGCCGCCCCCGGCTGCGGCGGCGGCAGTGGCTGCTGAGGATGCAGCGGCGTCTGCGTCCCCCCGCTCAGCGCGCCTGCCGCGGGGGCTGGCCCGGAGCCGGGGTCCTGCCCTCCGGGAGCCAGCAACCGGGCCGACTCTTCAAGGAGCAGCCCGGAGCCTAGCGCGCCGCTCCCGCCGCTGCCGATCGCCATGGCCGAACCGGCCCTACCGCTGCCGTCCTCGTCGTCTTCATCGTCCTCCTCTTCGGGGATCATGGAATCGGCGGCCGTCTCACCCGAGGGTTTGGCCGGGCTCCCCTGGAGCTCTGGCCTCTGCAGGGGCCACGTACAGGAGCGCGGCCGGCTCTGGGGCTCGAACTCCGGGTCCAGCTCCACTTCGAGCGGAGACAGCGGGGCCGGGGAGGCCGGTGCCTCTGCCATCTTCGCCGCCCGCCCGCCCGCGGCTCGGGCTCTCGCGCTCTCCTCTCGCGCCGGGGCGGGGTGCGGCGGGGGAGGGACGGGGGCGCCGCGAAGGCTCGGGCTCCCAGGAGTCGCTGCCGCTACTGCCGCCGCCTGGGGAAGCACGAGAGAAGAGAGAAGGAGAGTTGGTTATCCCGGGCTGGAGCCCAGTCCTCCGCGACTCCGCGCCCGCCACCGCCGCTTCTCCGCCGCACGGCGCCCGCCTCCCAGAAACAGGCAGACCTGGAGACGTGCGTCCCGCGAACCTGGCGCCGCAGACACCGCCCCCTGGCCAGGCCGCGGGGGAGCCGGGAGCAAATCGACGGGCTCGCACGGGGCAGCTCCCTCCCCCCGCCACCGGGGCCGCCCGAACTGCAGGTCCCTCCTGGGCTAGGTGGCTGGGCGGGGAAGAAGGGGGAGGGGCGGGGGCGGGGGGAGGGGCGCGAGCCGCGCCTTTAAAGCGCGCAGCGGCCAGCGCTGGCGCAGCCGAGCCGCGGTCGGAGCCCAGGCGGGCGTGCGTTTGTTTATGTTTCGCTCCGGCCCGCTCAAGTGCCTCCCGCGGCGCCGCAGCCAAAGTCTGTGGCGTCTTCCGCTCTTCTCCTGGTCCCCGGCCCTGCCGCCTCCGCGCCCCCTTGTATCCCCTTCTCCCCGCCGAGGGGCCCGAGTCCGGGGACAGCGCGGGCAGCCCCCTTCTCCCCTCTTCGCTCGCGGGCCAGGAGGACGAACGTAGGTCCGAGCGCGGACTGGCTCCTGTCACTTCCAGAAAAAAGACAAGACGGGAAGCAGGGGGGCACAGCGCGGCGGGTGTTTGCAAAGGGCCGAGCCAAGCAGGAACCACCACTTTGGGGGTCTGTGTGGTTTATTTGCCCGCAGGCGCTGTACCCTCCACCCCCTTCCCAGGAAAGGACGGGGGGAGGGGGCAAGTCGGAACATAAATCTTCCAACAGGTCAGGAAGCGCCAAGTCTCCCGGGCTACCAGAAAACCCGGACCAGCACGTTCATCACCTCCTTGCTCCCGCTGCTGCCATCTTGACAGTTTTCCCCCCTTCACTCAAGTCCTTTAAAAATACTAACGGGAGGGAAGGGGGGCGCGCACACCGAGTCACGGGGAGGGAAAAGGGAAGCGCCTGGCCCAGCTCGGAAGCAGATCCGGAGTCACCGGGAAGGCGACCGCCCCGCTGCACAGCTCCGGCGCCTACCTCAGTTCCTTCCCTTCAGGGACGAGGGGGGAGGACGCACAATTCTGCGCGGACCCGGGGCACGGCGAGGAGGGGGCGCGCAACCTCGGCGAAGGAGAGGCGCTCCGGCCGCCACCGCAGCCCGCCTGAGGAAACGCCTGTCAGCCTGCGCACCGCCGCCTTCCACATTCCTCCTCCTCCTTTCCACGAGCAGGGCGGCCGCGGCAGCAGCACAAAGTTATAGACACACGCAGGGTGCCTCAACCTAGACTGACGGCGGGCGGGCGGGCGGGTCCCCGCCCAGGGGGAGGGCTGGGCGGCAGGCCCGGGTGTGCTGTGTGCGTGCGTGTGTGTGCGTGTGTGTGTGTGTATGTGTGTGTATGTGGGCTCGCGCGCGCGCGCGCGCCGCCGGGCTCCGCGGGACTGCGGGCGTGGGTGTCAGGGAGCGCGCGGCGGGCCGGGACCGGGCGGGCTCCCGCAGCCGTCCCCGCCAGGCTCCCCCTCCCTCCCGAGGGCCTCGACGACAACAAAGCGCGGCGCTGGCCTAAGAGAAAAGGGAGGGGGAGATTAGAGACCCAAACGCTCCACGAGCGCAGTCGCGTGGCCTCTCAGACTCCGGGCAGGGCGCCTGGTACCGGGGGGGTCCCCGGCGGGCGCGTCCGTCCCCGGGGCTCTGGGCCCGCCCTGGTGTCCGATTCTAACCGGAAACCGGACACCAGGTAACACGCGAGATAAGATGCTGACCGCAGATCGCAGGGATTACCACAGCGTGGAAATACAAGCGAAAATGTTGGTGCCTTACAGGACTTCGATAAACTGATGCCTTCAGATTTGATCGGGCACCGAGAGGTCTGCAGCCGAGTCTCTCAACCTAGGACGCCCGACGCAGTGGTTCACTCTCCAGGGATTTCACGGCAGAGAAGGGGAGAAGTGTAACTAACTCAGGAGAAATGCAAATTATTTCCCATTCATAATTGTTCAAAATCTGCTCTTGCGTTTAGGAATGGGGAATAATTTGATTCTAACTCGTAAATGACTCCAGAACGGCTACTTGTGCATTTTTGAGTTTTTAAAAAAGATAACTTCTTTAGGTTTAGACAAACATCTTACGAGTCCTTATCCTGTCAGTGTCTAAATTGTTCATTTGTGCGCTAAGAATGCACTACCTGCGACACGCACACCAAAACTCGATCCACTTTGGTTCATAAATATCTTTTCCCCCCTTTTTTCTTAAATCCTTCTAAGTCACTGGTGATATCTCAGAATCTAAAGCTCGCTCCTCAACAACCCAATACACAAAAAGGTCCAACCCAGGGTACTCGGGAGTCCGCCCACCCACAGGACTCCAGGCTCCGGGCTTTGCGCAGGGCCCGTCACTCAAGTGACGTGAAGCCCCGCCCCTGCACCAAGCTAGTTCGACGCGTACAAACAGATGATGTCATTGTATCCACACGCGCGTGACCGGGGTGCTCTGCGCCGCGTCCCCATTCGCTGCGCCGCCTACTCGTCAAACCACGCCGCGCGCTGACTGGCCACGGCCACCAGTCTCCAGGCCCCAGACACCCCTCTCCGCCCCCCGCCCCCGCCCCCCAGCAAATAATAAACAATCGAGTAAAATTCTAGGGAAGAAAGGAGGGGAGGGAGGAGAGGAGAAAGAGACTCAAGCGACCCAGAAGCCAATCCTCCGCGCTGAGGGAGAGTCCAAAGGAGGAGGACTTGAGAAGACAGGGGAGGGGAGAAGGGGAGCCGACCTGGGGCGATGGGTCCTGCCGCGCTGTGGCGGTGTCGGGGGAAGAAAGTTGGAGAGCACCCTGCGGGGCGCGCCTGGCAGAGCGGAGGGACGCTAGGGCCCGGGAGCTGCAGGACTCCGGGCTTCGGGGCGGAGCGCGGCCGTCCTAGGGGGAGGAGAGCGAGCGGCGCTCGAGCGGCGCGGGCGGAGCAGGCAGACACGTGCGGGAGGAGGGCGGGCGCGCGCCGTGCTGGCTCGCCCGGGGCGCGCGGCGCGCTAGCCGCGCGCGCTTGTTTACCAGCGCACGTGGGTGTTATTTTTAAATGGAATGTTGTGCTGGCCGCGCGGCTGAGTGGCGGACGCGTGGGCCCGCCCGCGCTGGCTGGGGGACGCGGCAGGCCGGCGCAGAGGCCTCTCCCGGTTCTGCTCACGGGCCAGCCAGGCTGTCCCCACTTCGGGCTTCCGGCGCCGCGGCTGGCTCGGCCTTGGGAACCTAATGGCGAGTTTCGCGCGCTGCCAAAGCCTCTACGGAGATGTCGCGTTTCCGCCGCGGAAAGCTGCCTTTTTAAAGCCAGGTTTCGGCTCCCTCATTCACATTCCGGGAACAAAGCCACCTACTTTCCCTTCGCCCTGGAGGCCAGGCCAGGCCGGGCTCCGCGGCCACAGTTTCCAGAGCCAATTTCACACGCTCACATACTCCCTGGCACACTATAACCGGGCCGCGAGGTAGACTGTTATCATCTTGCGTAGTTTGTGACCTCGCTACCTGGCTCAGAACGTCCCTAGCCCTTTATGCGCCCGTCACTTGGGCATACAGTTCTGCCAAGTACAACGCTTTTGCTACCTCGGCTTGTCTTTGGAAAGGAACTCTGGGAAAGGGGGCTCTGACCGCTTGCTGGGGTTGCTCCTGTGCTTGCTGCTCCTCTCCTCTCATTGTGGGTCTGCCCTTCGGAGGAGCCCTGAGTTTGCATTTGGTTTATAGCATGGCAATGTGGACGTTGATACAGGACGACAACCCTGAACTGCAGGTGTCCATGGTGGGGGGGGAGATCCGGGTTCGAAGTGCACGGGGCAGGAGGGGGTCTAGGGGTGACTTTGGGCATATTATTGGGAGTCGTGTTCAGGTTTGCGGGAGGAGCCCTAAGGCCGCATCACCCAGTGCTTTGCACCTTGATAAGGCATAAAATCCAGAGAACTTTCTGTTCTTAGTGTTTATAACCCACTGTAAAAGAAATGCACGCTTTTCCCTCTCTGAATGTAAGCAATCTTTTGTCGGTAAAATACATGCAGATTTAGAAAGAATGTGTTTACACTGGCTGGGCTCTCAGCCATTAGATTTTTACTATAAACCTGTTGAGTGTCCATTTACAGAATGCATATCCCAAGGGCATTCAAAAAAATGGAAGTGTTAAAGATTCCGTAGGTTAATTGAGCTCCTTGTGACCCTTTGGTGAGGAATGGGGGTTGGGGACATGATATAGCTATGTCCCTCAAAGAGTTTACAGTCGTGGCTGGATAGACATCAAAAAGTTCAGTATTTCAGGAGTTGAAAAGCAGTACAAGACAAAAACACAAGAGATCCTGCGTAGTGTTGGGTAAATTTCAAATGGTTTGGAGGATCTTAACTTCAAATGGAAGAACAACTACAACAACAAAAACTTCAAATGGCAATGACTATAAGCATTCAGCTTGGTAAATGTGCATCATACCCAGAAAGTTTATACCCTTGTAATTTGGCCCTGTGGGCAAACCTTTGAAAACTGAGGTTGAACCTCAGTAATTGATTTATTTTAGCCTGAAGTTGCTTTGACCTTTGCTTTCCCCTCCAAGGCCTCCACGGTCCTTCATTTCTTCCATCCACCATTTTTTTTTCTAAACTTTTTAGTACACACAATGCCCAACTTAAGATTGTTCAATTTAGGATTTTAGGATTTTTCGACATTACAGTGGTGCAGAACTGATTCACATTCAGTAGATACCCTACTTCAAATTTTGAATGTGAATCCATGCTTCCCTACCCTGCGCCCCCACCACAGCTCCTAGTCAGCCACCTGATCCCAGGTGTTAACAACCAATGGACTTATAACCATTCTGTACCCATACAATCATTCTGTGTTCGCTTTCAGTACAGTGTTCAATAAATTACGAGATAATCAACACTTGATTATAAAATAGGGTTTGTGTTAGGTGATTAGGCCCAACAATAGGCTAATATAAGTGTTGTGAGTGTGTTTAAGGTAGGCTAATCGATGATGTTTGGTAGGTTAGGTGTGTTCAATACTTTCTCAACAATATTTTCGACGTACACTGTTTTTCTTTTTAGGACATAAACCTATCATCATAAGTCAAGGAAGAGGGGCGCCTGGGTGACTCAGTCATTAAGCATTGCTTTCAGCTCAGGTCATGATCCCAAGGTCCTGGGATGGAGGCCTGCATCGGGCTCTTCCCACTCCTCGTGCTTGTGTTCCTGCTCTCACTGTCTCTCTCTTGTTGTCAAATAAATAAATAAAACCTTTAAAAAAATAATAAGTTGTGGAAGATCTGTATAGGAAAGCTGAGTAAGTTAACAGTTGTTGATCGAGAAGGAATGCCAGCATTATCTTTGTGGGAGAATTTTTAATCAAAACTTTCCTCATTTCTTAATTCACTTCTTGTTAATTTTTACAAATGACTTAAGGTGGTGATTGTCCACTTCATTTTGTTTTGTTTTTTAAGATTTCATTTACGTGGGGGCGCCTGGGTGGCTCAGTTGATCAGTCTGCCTTCAGCTCAGGTCATGATCCCAGCATCCTGAAATGGAGCCCCAAGTTGGACTCCCTGCTCCACGGGGAGTCTGCTTCTCCCTCTGCCCCTCATGCTCGCTTATGCTCTCTCTCTCTCTCTCAAGCCTTTAAAAAAAAATTTTTTTTTTTTTTACCTGAGTAAGCTAAGTAAATTCACCATTTCCAACGTTTAATTGTGAGACAACTGGAGCTCCGCTTCTGAGGGGCCACCACTAAGCACCTGCATCCTTGCCCTATCCTCCCCTCACCTAGGTCAGCTACATACTCCCTGACCCCAGAGCCTAAATAAATACCAGGGACTGCGCATGCTGCCTGCCAACAAAGTGCTCATTTCCCTCCATGACTGACTTCTACATCCAACTCAACAGTGAATAGTGAAAACAAATACAATATAAGCCTCCAAAAAATTTGTGAGCCAGCTGGCAAGAAAGGATCCCCAATGTTCAGGTCTATAGCTGCTCCCCACCCTTTGTCTGACACCCCCATTAGTCCCTTCCCCTGCCTCCCCATTCTTCTGGAAACTACTCACGGGAAGAACATACTGAATACTATATACTAAAGAGCTTGAACTTGGCTTCTCTTTAAGGGTGTT